AAAATGGTTTTAAAAGCGGCGCTCGGCTGGCGGCGGGGGAGCGAGCGCGAGCAGAGCCGGTGGGTGCAGCGAACGGAGCTCGGAGCTGCGGGCGCAGGCAGCGCGGGGGGCGGCACCGCGGGGCGAGGGTGCGGGCGGGCGGAGCGCGGGGTCTGGAGCTCCATTGCCCACATCTGCTTCCAGCCCTGTTGCCCACGCGTCGGGAGCTCGCGGAGCTCTGCGGTCAGCGATCGGACACCCCGGGCTGCCGCGCTCCTGGCCGGCGAGGCGTGGTACTGTCTGGACCACCGACCGGAGGTAAGAGGGCTGGGCTGGGGGCGCCGGGGGCGCCGGGGCTGTGTTCACATCCTACGCTTCGGAGGGGAGGAGAGAAGGGGGCTCCCGTGCCTCCATTGGATATGGGGAAAACGTTGCCCGCCATCGGCTTCTGTTTGTCTGTCTGTGCTGTGCGTCCACCTCTGTCTGCCTGCGTGTCTGCCGATGGGCACATGCTCCTGGCACTGTCCTCTGTGGGATTTCTCTGAAATCTGGTGATCGTTTACGAGCGAGCGGCAGATGCCTGGGGGCCCTGGCGTCCCCGGAGCACAGAGCGGGAGGCAGATTCCTGCTTTTCGTAGGTTTCCCCCTTTCTGAATGGCCCCCTTTCTCTTGCGGCGGGACAGTGTCAGGCCGAGGAGGGACGGCCCCGAGGGCCTGGTCTCGGAGCGCAGGCCACCGGGAGCCGGCTCGCGCGGCGCGCTAGTGGGCGTGCGCCTAGCAACAGGTCTGCGCCCTGCTGCTCCTGGCTCCGCACCGGCTTCCCTGACTCTCCCGCCGCCTCCCGGGACAGCGCCAGGCACCTAGCGACGCGCTGTCGTGGGGCCGGGGCCGGGAGGAGGAGATTGGATGTTAGAGGACCTCAAGGGCTCCTGCGGAGGTTTAGAGAGATCTCCAACGCAACGAGGGTGGAAGAAGGTTTTGGTGATTTCTGGCCAGAGACATCGGCTCCAAGAAGGGTAGCATTAGTTTAGGAAAGGCAGGGTCCTGGAGGAGCGCACCAGGCCAGGACCGTGGCCAGATCTCCGGCTCACCGCTCTGGAAACAAGGGCCAGCGACATTCTGGAACGGACCCCGCAGGATGGGTGTGCTCGGAAGGGAGCGAGGGGCACCCTGCGTCCTCCACGACAGACTCGCCCTCAGTGACCGCCGCCGTTCCCCAAGGGTCGGACACTGCCGCCGCCCCAGGCGCGCCGCCAGCGCTGCCCACAGGTGAGAGCTCCCTTTTAAAACTAAGCTTTTGATGTGCGAGCCAGTGCTTGGCTGCCACCCGGTCCCGGAGACGGCGAGCCCTGGAGTGTGTCTGTCCATTCCCGCGGTCTGGAGACAGATCCCGGCGCGCCCGCGGGCGGAGAGCCGGCGGCTCTGCGTGCCCAGGCGCGACGCCACCATGGACAGCTCCCAGCCACTTCCTCCACTCGGGGTCTGTGGTCCCGGGTCTCAGAAAGTCAGGCGCTTTCCCCCCAGACCCAGGGCCTGGGGCGGCTGGGATGGAGAACAGGGACTGATCGCCCGTGGGGGCTCTCGGTGAGCAGTCCCAAGGCGGCACCAAGCATGCAGGCGACAGCTTAGCCGGATGGAGGCTGTGGTTCGTGGCTTGAGTCCTAGCTGAGCCTGCAGCTGGCTCTGTACAGGACCTGTCACCAGGGCTTCTCTGGCTTTTCTGTGACACAACAGGGACGCTTCAAAGGTGTTAGAACATCAGCGACCCCGGAGGATCCGAATGAGGCAGTGAGATAATGCCAGATGTAATTAGGGACCCAGCTCCAACTGCTTACAGGGCCATGTGCCCGGTTATATTAAATTATTTAGTAAACATGCTATTAAGAGGCTATCTTAATTTCAGTTAATGACAGAATGGAGAAGAAATCAGAAGTTTATAGGAAATGTGTTTGGATGCATTGGCGAAAGCAACTTTTATTATTATTTTTTTTTTCTGGTCCTAAGAGTCATCTCTAAAGCACAAAAAGGCTCTTAAAACACCTTCCAAAGGCTCCTCTACAGCCCCATAGATGATGTTTCAACCTGGTTACTTGGAAACAGAGTGGGAAGACCTATTGGAGCAAATCTGTGCACATTAAACACCTCCCTTCGCTGGTAAGGAGTGGGACTGGATGGGGCTCTTCTAGTCGTTGATGCCTCATGGACACGCGCTTTTCTTTTACCATGGCAAGCAATGAAGAGGGTCTGTTTCTGTCGGTGACTGACGAAAGCCCATGTTAGAACAATCAGACGCCTCATTTTTCCCCCCTTCAGACAGATCTGGAACTCTCGGGAAGTGACTTAAACGCTCCGCCTGGTTCCTCGCCCGTAAACTGGTGAGGACCCAATCTGTGTCACAGGGTCGCTATGAGAATGAACGGGCACAATGCGAAGCACTTCCTTCAGTGAGGAGAGCACAGAGAAGTGGCTTGAAACGACCGCGCCGCAGGAATATTTTAAAGACAGTTGTGCGCTTCTTTGGAACCACGGACACCAGTTGTGCGTGCACTCCCCTGACCCACTACCTGTTTGATAGGGACTCTGTCTTCACTTGATTTTTCACATTCAAGAATTTATTGATGAAACGGATGAAAGGGCCCACTGATCACGTTGCCCAAACAATTATGGCAAGATCAATGGGGAAATTTTCAGATGAGACACGCCAGTCAACTGTCTTCCCACCTGGACCGTTGGAGGGAAGATGAAAGTAAGTCATTTTCATAGTACGACCCCAGCCCTTCGATTCAGGTGATCAGTTGCTCCCGATCACAGGAATGTAAGGCCCGCCATGGGCCCTCATTGTCTTTCTGTGGTCAAGGACTCTCGGGAATTGCTGGGGAGTGACCCCCCCAAGGCCCCTCTTGTGGATGACCACAGGGCCCTGTACCGGGAGGACCTAACGTAGGAAGGCCACAGGTGCCTGTTCACATGCAGGGGCCACGTCCTTCTGTCTGAGCCCTGCTTGGGTGCCAGATTTTGGCCAAGACCCTTGCTCACGTGTATGCGGTCCCATCTGAATTTGAAGATCCCCCCCATAGCTCTGCATTTGGGGGTTCTCTGGTAGAAGTCACTACTGTGACATGCATGGAAGTTTGCATCGGAAATGATCAAGCACTCAATGTCCCAGGGAGAGCCCCCCGTGAAAGCGTGGGCATGCACGCGTGTTTGTCCTTCTGCCAGTGCCACATTAAAGTGCTCTTCCACTTTCTCCTTTATTTGCCCCTCCTCACAGATCCGAAGGAGTCTCAGCTTCCTCCATCTGAAGGGAGTGGAAGTGAGGGCTGCCGTCTAAGAGGTTCAGGGTCTTTCTGTGAGCTTCCTCGGCTGGCGATGGACACAGGCGGGACACGAGCCCCTCACGGACCTTGCAGTCCTGGCTGTCTTCTGGGGACCCCCGTGCAGATCCTCCTGTGGCACGCTCACGGCTTTCTGGTAAGAAACTTACTGAACTACACACCACTCTGGGAGTGCAGGGCTGCCGAGGGGAGGGGCCCCCATGAGGGGTAGGAAGGAACTCTTAATCTGTCCTGTAGCATCCTGTCGGAGTCCCTGGATAGACAGATCAAATGGCAAGAGTGGCCTTCAGTGGGGAAGGCAAGGGGGATGAGAGGGGCGCATTCATCCCCTTTCATCAGCCTCCTTTGAAGCCTGCTGCTGAAATGACCCCCTTTTGTTACCTTCTGTCGTATTGGCAGGGCGGTCCAATGGGATGAATGAAGCGCATTTTGCATTTGTAGTTATAGCTCTAAGACAAAATGCAGACATGTAGGTTGGGCTCCTAAAAGGGAACAGAGTTAAGTTTTGGGGCTGTGTGCACAAGCTCCTGTGTCCTTGAAGAGCATGGGATACATATCTCTTTCCACAAGATGGCAAGTGCCCAGAGGTTTGATCCTCTTGGGGAAGTGCATCGGCCGTCCCTTGCTCCTTGTTTCATCCCATTCTATGGCAGCGGTTTCGGTTTCCTGGTCAGTGACAAGGAAAACATCCCACGCTCGCTGCCTTGGATCTGGCTGGACTGGCAGCAGGGCCCGGGGGAGTTCTGAGGGCTGAGGTCCTTTCTACTGCTTCACCAGCTATTCAACCAGGCCTGAGCCTCCTTCCCCAAAAGCCTAGCCTATGGCAACTTCACAGCGCTGGGCAGGGTGGCGACCAACATGGGGACTTGTATGGATATCTGCATCTTCTTGGCCCAGCCACTTCCGGCCGGGGCCGTCCTAGCCTCTCTGATAGGTTCCCCAGAGCTTGCTTTTTCTTCTGTCTGCCTTGGTGCCGGGCTTTGTTCGAGCTTGGGTCTTTGGAAGGGAGGCTGGCTGCAGAGAAAGGTCATAAATAAACACTCGCTGTCTGCTTTGCTCCTCCGGTGTCAGGAAACACTCATGCCCATCCAGAGGGAGAGGACTTCCTCCCTGCCACCCCGCTATTTTCCAGGGCCCTCCCTAGGCTCAGCCTGGCTGCAGGAGTCCTACTCTGTCCCTCCATTCCCACCTGCACAGGTGAGTGAGACTTGGGAACACACACGCCCACTCGGATCGGGGCTCCCTGTCTCCAGCCCCGGACAGCCTGGCTCCTTGCCCTGGGAAATGGCTAGAGCATGGTTATCTTTGCATCTTCTGCAAGGGCAGCCAGGGTACACATTTAGATAGAACTTGAGTTTAAAGTGCTTTGACCAGACCACTGCTTTTGAAAACCCTGTGTGTCTGCTTCTCTCAGCTGTCAGCAAAATGGTGTAGCCATTCGGCATTTCCTGCTACCGTTAAGGCAGCTCTAGAAGGCCGGCAACTCTGGCCTGGAAAGTAGCTACACTGAGTGCGCTCTTCCTCCTGTTTCGAGGCATCAAACCAGAGTGGGAGGGCAGCAGGCTTCGACCTCACGGGTGAGGAGTTCATGTGGTTTTCCTGAGTCTACATGGCCGTGAGGCATGGACTCAGCTGTGGAGCTGAGGGAACCGCGGCGATCTTGAGGCAAGGACATGGGCGTCTTTTTCTGTGACTCAGCCAGCCAGTAAAGATGGGAACCACTGCCCTGCCCCTTGGGGCTGGGTTAAAGGGGGTGGCCCTTGGGACTCTATTCCCTGCTGGACTGCCTCCCAGGACTTGGGGAGGGGGCTGGTTACTCTCCTCTTTGTTTCTTTGTCTGGAAAGTGAAGGGGTTAGGTTAGACCACTGCCTCTTAGACTTAAATATGCAAATGAATCATATGGACCCTCACGAAAGTGCAAGTTCTAATCTGGCTGATTCAGGGTCTGCATTTTATTCCTTCTTAAAGTGAGAAATCATCCC